CTGATTCCTGGGTCAAGGAAGCAAAACGAAACGTGGTCAACCCAATGGTTTTGTGACACCTACAGATACTGCAAGGGCATTTAATGAAATCTTCAAAGCAACGACCTAGAACTGCTTCTGTGCCTATGTTCATTACAGAAAATTTAGAGAACCCAGAAAAGCATCAGAAGGTAAATATAAAGACCCATAATCCACCACATCGTTTGTATTCATATTTGGTTATTTTTAAAAATTGGCATCACATAATAGCAAACTTTTATTTTTACTCTTTTCACGTAATGTCATGGGAATTAACTCCTCCTTTAAAATGGTGCACTGGGAAGACCCAGAGGGATAGGGCGGAGAGGGAGGTGGGAGGGGGGACCGGGATGGGGAATACATGTAAATCCATGGCTAATTCATTTCAATGTATGACAAAAATCACTGCAATGATGTAAAGTAATTAGCCTCCAACTAATAAAAATAAAGGAAAAAAAATATATAATAAATAAATAAATAAATAAAATGCAGACGCTGGAAGAGAAAGTTGGATTCTCTATTACAGCATTCAGAGAGAGGTAAACATTGATTCCAGATTTCTAGCCTCCAGAACTGAGAATAAATGTTTTAAGCCACCCCCCCCAAAAAAAAGTAAATACACATAGGTACATTCTTTAAAAATGTGGCTTTTAATGGCCACATAATATTCTCTTTGAGGAATTACAACAATTTACTTAGCAATTTCCTTGTTCGTGAAAAATCAGACTATGTCTATCGTAAGTAACCAATATTCATCCTATAAATAAATCTTTGTGCATGCTTATTTCCTTAGGATGAATTTCTAAAAATAAAAGGGCTTGAAAATTTAACACAGAGGGCCAAAGTCCTTCCAAAAGCCACAATAATTCATGCCCTCATTGCAGCACCCAAGAATTCCCACTTTATTGCCCCATCACCAATGTCAAACACAGTTCTATCCTCAAAGTGGAAAATTAAGATGAACCTGAAAAATTTACATGATAATATCTCCAATGAGGGCATTAAACACACAAATGCCCTTAGAAACAGATGACTGCATGTGAGCATCAGGGTTTATCATGGAAATTTTGAAGCCACTACTGGAAAACTAACTAAGTGCATGCCATATTGGCAGTGGTCTTGCAGCAGCATTTTACTATGAAATCACCACATTTTCATCCAAAACGCTGTCACCAAATCCTATTTATGACTGAAATATAAGTTTACTGTATTTGATTTGATCTGGAGTAACAGACTCCAAATTTGGTTAAACTGTACAAAACCATTCTGTAGTTTTCCCCAGGTCAAAATACCGATTCATCTAAATGCTCAATGAAAACCTGAGATTGCCGCATCAAACCACCACATATTTCTCTGTGCCAATTACATCAGAAACAATTTTCTTCATGACCCCAGTTATTTGGGGGAAAATTACAAAGCACTTTGAAAGGTAGAATGCAAGGTAAAGATCTGTACTGAACACCTGACTTTGTGACTTCTGACCACCATCTGCCAAGCATCTTTTTGATCAATATTCCAACAAGGCCAAGTTTCGTTTTAAAGTACAAGAATGTTCACAGCAATTTAAGGAGAAAACTAACACGAGTGCTTCAACGTAGTAAAGACACCTTTTAGAAGTGATTTGTAATCAGCCTGAAAAGTGTCCAACGGCATGCCATAAAAGTAAAAATAAGACCAAATTATCTGATTTCCATTTTGAAAATTCAGGGATCAAAAATAATATCTACTACTAGACCATTTTCACTATACAGGACTTCAAGCCGAAAAATAATGTCTCTTACATATTAACTGTAGTAAAATTTGTCAAGTGTGAAGTATTTGAAGAGAAGAATGTCTAGTCCAAAAGTAGAGGTAAATTCGAGGAATTTTTATTTCATTAACTGTATTAAGCTGTGCAAGAAAAGCTCTTCTGCCCTGCTATTCAAGCACCCAGTCATGTCTGCCCTACACAAACGTATACAGACGCCTTGTAAATCTCAGGCGCCATTAAGATTTTGACAACCGGTTCTTCTTTACCAGGACAAGTTGCATAGGAATACGCATGTACACCATAGGAATACGCATGTACAGCCAGAAAGCCAGATGCATCCTCTCTCTGACACTATTGGCTAGCCAAATCTTAAAATTATTTTTCCTCAAAGTTTTAAATATTACCCAAAGCATTAGACTATATCCTGCCCAAAGTCTCAAAAACTTCCAACCTTAAAAAGCTGCAGAAATGCTCCTAGGTCTCAAGACTGTTCCTTCTACAGCACTGGAACTAAAGAAAGTGTTTCAGTATCTGTTTCAGAGTGAGCTTCAGAAGCTCTCAAACCGGGAGGTGGGCCGCTGAAATGTACCGGAAGATAAAAGGAACACACTTAAATGGGGGGGGGGGGGGGGGTAAGATAAAACCGGGATTTTGTCCATAGATAAAGTCTAAATAACTCTGGTGATCTAGGAAATGAACTATTTTCCCTCAAAGATGACTGGACTTACTCTTCCTCATCAGCTCAATAGCTACCAGAAGCTACAAAACACTCATCATTATGTGTATATATATTTACGTGTGTGTGTTCTGTTTACTGGAATCCTCCACCGTGGCTTTCCAATGTGTTTGAGGACAAACTGCTGATCCCTGGGTGGGCAAGGGGAAGGACCAATTCGGGTGGTTTTGTATATTGCTGAGCACATTAATGGGACTCAAACACATGTATTTTACATGTGTTGTGGCTTTCAGGGTTGGGGAAAAAAGGAGGAGTTTTTCACAAACAAAACATAAACCCCAACAGGGAATTAGGGCAAAATTACCTAGATCATTCAGGCCAACTTACTTTTTCCCAAATTTTTAACCTCATAAAACCTCTCCCTTCACAGTGTTTTGGAGTTTTGTCTGCTCCATCTCTTGTACAGCTTAGGTTCTAAGATTTTTTAATCTGTCCCCTTATTTTTAAAATAACAAGTATCTAGCCAATAAGACAGATACTTTCTAGAACCACCGGCCATTTCCACCTGATAAAGGAAGACCTAACAAGGCAATAGGACAGGTTAAGAGACAGCAATTGTACTGGGATCACCTGTGATTTTCCTGGTACCCAGCCTCGCACATAAAGACACCTGGGGTTCGGGCAAACAGGCCAGTGCTGCAGGCAGTTAAGCTGAGCTGGGTCAAGCAGAAAAAGCTGAGTTTTCTCTGCTTAATTCTGTCAAATAGTTTATGGTGTGCAGACACTCAAACAAAAAAAAAAAGTCTTTGGTTTACCCTGATGAACTCTTACAAGTTTCTCTTTCAGGTGAAGAGAGAAAGATGGTTTCATGTGATATAGTCTCACCCTTAGAAATCAACAGATCGCCAACCTAAGTGAAACAGAAAGGTTTCTGCAGCCACTGCAATTCCTTTAAAAAGCTACCTTTTTTATTAATTATAAAAAATAAAATACTCCAGCATTCTCCAAAAAAGCTACACTTTTAAATTTTATTTCAGTGGTAGGGAAAATAAAATAGGAAAGCAGCCAGTGAGGTTCAAGAAAAAAAAGCAGAACTTGCAATTCAAGTCTCCATCTCTTTGAAAGAGAAGGAATGTCAGTACTATTCCATCATTTGCAATTTAAAAAGCCAGCATGTAAAAACAATGGTTTTCAGAACAGTTTATAATAATAAAGGCGATCTGCTCAGGTGAAACGGCAACTTCAGGCTCAACAGCACTTCACCTGGGTGGCACCCACAAACAACTGTTAAGAGTAAAATCTTGTGTTATTTTGCACAATGTTTGGCTTGGTCTTGGAGCTCTCTCCTCTGTCTTCCCCATTTAAATAGTTCCCATTTTACAAGTGCTGAGGGCTTAAATGTATTAAGTCCTCCACAACCTTGGGTTTCACAATCAGAATTTTAGTTTACACACAACGTAGTACTTCCATAATCATCTCAACACCCTAACCGCTTAGCAATCAGTTCACCTTTCTGTAAGAAAGCTCTTATCTAGAGTGCATACTTTCTTGCATCTACACATACTCTAAAAGTTCCTTTTGGAATGTTTCAGAAGTCAATTTCCTGGGCTTTTCAAAAGGTAGGCGGAAAACAGTGTTTACTGGGTTCTAGATAACGCACCTACAAGAACAGAGCCCATTTAACAAGATAACGCAAATATCCCAACTACAAATACTGAAACGATTGTTCAGAAGTTCCCCCACATGTACTGAGTTTTGTTTCTACCAAAGGAACGCTCTGAAGCCCCAACATTTTTACCGTTGTTAAGGACGCACCACATAAAATTTACGCTGAGACGTTAAAGTCCTATTAAAATAGTCTGGATCAACACTTCGCGAGTTGCAAAGTCTGAAACTTCAGCATGCTGCGCCCCACAACCGCAACGCCCCTAAATTTACAAAACCTAATCAGCCAGGTTCGGGGTCTTTGACTCATCGGAGAAGAATGCGGCTGATGAGTTATCTATTAATCCAAAACGTTTTAGCAGGGAAAGATATTTCGCCGAGAACTTTTCGCATAAAAATGGGGTGGGGGGGACGGAAGGTGTCTTTTCATGAGAACTTTCCCCGAGTTTCTTCCCTAAACCACACAAATACACACCCCACAACTTTCAGCCCCAGACGCAGAACTAAGTTCTGACCCTCCGGGGTCCCAATCATCTGAGGTCACCCAGGAGTCAGCTCTCGATTCCGCTTTTAAAATCCGGGGCAAACAAAGCTGACCATTATACTTACAGAGGTCTCGGGAAAGTCCTCAAAATTACGCAATTTTCAGGCACGCAGACACGCGTGGACCCACCAAAACACACTCTCCGATGATACACCCTCATCCCGCGGCCGCAGTCTGGGGCTGCGTCTCCGGGCCGGGGCGATTCCCAGCCCCTCGGTGCCCCTTCCCCAGCACAGCCCGGCGCCCCGGGACCCGCGCCCCGCCGGCCGCCCGGCCACCCACCCGCACTTCTGGGCAGAGCCCGCGGCCGCCGTCCCAGGTCGTCCCCGCCCCGAGCCGCTCCGTACCTCTTCCTCCTGAAGGTTGGCCTCGTTCGGGGTGTTCTCCTTCTCGGCTTTGCTGCCGTTGTTCATCTTCCCGGTCCTCCCTCGCCGGGCAGGGCTGGGGCGCGGGGCTGGGCGAGGGCGCGCTCGCCCACTTCTCCCTTCCCCGGGCGCCGCGGGCTGGAGTCGGGGCAGCGGCGGCCGGCGACTCAGGAAGTGCGAGGGGGAGACGGGGCAGGGCGAGGCGCCGGCGCAGCGCGGAGGGGACGGAGACAATCGCGACCCGAGAGGGAGACCTGGAGAGGGCGGGCGGGCGCGAGGGAAGGCAGGAAGGAAGAAAGGATGGGGCGAGGACGCGAGTCCCGGGAGTGAGTCCGCAGAGTTGGGGATGTGGCCGAGAGGGGCTGGGGGGCGGCCGCTGGCCCGAACGTAGCAACTGCTGGAGGGAGGGGGCGAGGGGTACCCCGGGAGGAGCAGGAGGGAGGTGCGGGACGGCGGGGCGCGGCGGGGACCCGGAGAGCCGCTGAGTGCGCGCTCCTGGCTGGCTCTGGGAAGTCCGGGCTCCAAGCAGCTCCCCTTCTCTCGCCTGCCTGCCCCCCTCCCCCCGCTCTTTCCTCCCTCCCCTCCCCTCCTCCTCTCTCCGCCCTCCCTGGACGTGGGCTGCCGGCTGGAGCCCGGAGGGACGGGACGAGGGACGGCAGAGCCCCCCTCGGGAGGAGGGGCCGCGCCGAGGGCTGCGGCCCGCGGCCGGATGGCGCGCGCTGGGGAGGGGCGGCGGGCGGCGGGCGGAAGCGGCGGACCCCGGCCCCGGACTCCGCGGTAGGTCGGAGGGCGAGGGCCGAGGGGGAGGGCAGAAGGCTGCGTCCTGCCTGGCACCTGGAGGCCGCCGAGCCGTGCGCGCAGCTTGGAGCGGGGCTCCGGCGACCGGGAAATGTGGTGGGTTACTTTTGTTTGCTTGCTCGCTTTTCACGAGGGATTTGCTCCCCAATCCCTCCCCCTTCTCTTCAGTACCTAGTGGGCAGTTGGTAACGACAGGATGCGGGAACTGGGGTGACGTCCGGGGGCAGCCCGAGCCGGGCCGGCGTTTTCAGGGCGCATCGTCAAACCCCACCTCCACGCCGGGTCCTCCGAAACTTCTCCGGCCGCCCTTGCTCGGACTCCTCTACGGCCCTTATCAGACTGTCCTGGAATTACTTGTTTACCTGGCTGCCTCTCTCACCCTTTCGGGAGATCCTTCTTGGAAGACAAGACCGGGCCCTGTTTGTCTTTTGAATCCCATGGCAATTTGAAAACGCTACCTGGTATATCGTAGGCACTCAATAAATATTTGTTGGCCGAGGGGACATTTCTCACTGCCCGCCGAGCGGGAGGCCAAGACAGATGATCTTCAGAGGGTCAAAGCCGCTGAAAGAAGGGAGACTCAGCATACTGGGAGGTCAACGTACCATGCCTGCTGGCTCCCCACCCGCCGAAGGAAGACCTGCCTGGTTTCTGCTTCCTCCTCTGTGAAATAGTAGTAGTTCTATTCCTCTCCCAGGAGCTTGTTATTAGAGGAGATTGTAAGTTGATAGATAAAACTATAGCACCTGGCACCCATTCGGACCCAGTTGTTGGCTATACTTGGAAGCTGACATGGTTAATTTCCACTGTTCCTGCGCCACCCAGAATTTTCCAATATTGTATCATTTAAGCTTTCAAACTGAGTGACTGCTACAAACACATAATTTAAAACTCCAAACATCGGTAGATTCTCCTTCATTTCTCACTCCCGGGATTTCACACAGCACGCCATTCCCTTCCAGCCCCAGCGACGATCACAATTTCTAATTATTTATTGGCTTGCTTCAGTCTCCTCCCCTCCCCCTTCTGCCCCCGCCCTCCTCCCCCACTAGACATTCTTCACCCTGGACTGGTTTAAGTGCTCCTGGGAATGGGATGGGGGTGGCGACGGGGTTGAAGATAAGGCTTCTGCTTTTAGGGAATTTAAAGTGGTGCCCTGGAGACAAGATACCCCAAACAGCTCCGCGGCTACATCACCAGAACCGCAAGTCCTGGTTCAACGTAGAAACCAAAGATAATAATTTGCTTTGAGAGCATTTTGGAAAAAAAAAAGCAGGAGTGATATTTGGATTTACATATTAAATTAGACTTGTCTGGGGTTGGGGTGGAGATTCTGATAAAAGATTTCATTGCTGTCATGATGTCATTTCTCTCTATGGGGAAAAAAATGTACCCCGGATGAAAATAAACCAAGAGACTATTGAAATTGCAGTTGAAGTTCAAAAGAGCCAAGAGAAAAGTTAATCTGGAAACTGGCCCTTTGCACTTCCAGTTCCTCCCTCAGTTATATAAGGAACCACGAGGGGGCAATGTCTTTCTGATCAATGGCAGAGTGGTGGTCTTGGGCCCATGTGCTGACCACCGATGCCAGCCACTGGCAATTCTTTGCCCTTCTTGGCCATTCTTGCCTGTTCCTGAATACACTCCACAGAAAGATATTGTCTAACTGGAGCCTGGCAGAGGCCCAAGAAAAATGACAATAGACCTAGTCTCTGAATGTCCCCATCAGACTCCACTTAGGAGTAGGTGGGTGGTGTCCTGTGATTCTAGGATGCTGGAGAACTTCCTCTAACCCCATCCAAGGAAATGTGGTTTAATCTGAAACACAGAACCTGATGCCTTTGTCTTTAAGCCAAGTTGGCACCTTGTCCGTTGTTAAAAGTCAAAAAACCTCTGGAATGAAAAAATGAGAATATGTTCTATGGAAGATCCTTGTCTGGCCTGTTTATTATTGTGTTCACCCAACAGGTAGTAGGCACTCAATAGTTACTTCGGAATGAATAAACACATTCTTATCAGGTATTAATTCTAGGGCGTGAATGATACAAACAGATCCTTCCAAGAGCTTGCAGGAGAGACTGAATTAGTGGGGGTCTCTCGGCATGAAGAGCACCACAAAAGCAGTAGGCAGGCTCCTGGTAGTGGTGTTTAGTCACTGTTCTGCATGGGAGACCCTCGATAGAGAGCTTGCGTAAGATGGGATAACTGATGAGGTTTTGCAAAATAAAATCACACCACTCAGCCAGTTAACTGACAGACACATCAGGCAATTTACAACAAAGCAGGGAAATCTACAACATGTAGTCAATGGTGAGGGTGAAATTCATGGTGTAATATACCAGGAAAACAGGGACTCCTATTTTGTCCTTTGTATGAAGAATAGTTTAGGCTTACTTAGAAGAACAGTAGAGTTAAGTTGCCAGCAAAACTCAGTGAAAATCTGTAAATAGACTGGCTATTTATAAAACTTCGTCAGTGAAGCAAAAGAGTGAGGGGACAAACAATTGAATCAGGATATAAATGATCTTTATGACCTGGTTTACTACTTAAAAGAAAGACAGTATCAAAATGAGGTCTCAGTAGCAATAGTTTCCAGACATGCTAAGAGTTATCAGACAACAAAGGGATTTTATATTCCTAGAAAAACAGGGCTAATAACCAAGAAACATCTGCTTACCCCCTGCCCACCGCTTTGCCTCACTGCTTCTGGCCTGCAAGTTTCTTTACTAGATTGAGAGGGAAATATTCTATGCACCTGTAGTTTTCATTACTCATCTCTGTTTCTCTGGCAGTGTTCGTTTTGAAGTTTGCTTTAAGAAATCCAAACCTATAATTATGTCTTAAATGTTCCTCTCTAGGAATTGCAGATATTAAAGGTCTATTTTGAGGCAATTTGTGTGGTGTGGGCTTCGTAACTCTGTTAGCACCCGTGGCAGAAAGCTGCAGGATCTACCACAAGTGTTAGGATTGTCCATTGACTCTCTTACATCCTTTCCTGGACCAAAAATGTTTTTGAAGCCACAGGCTGCATTTGATTGTTTTTTGTCCTTCTTAGCACTTCTTTCTCCCTCACCCCACCCCCATCCACCTCCAGGCCATCACCACCTTCCCCTGATTTTATTTATTAATTTTTAATTGTGGCTAAAAACACACATCATATTTACCATCTTAACCTCTTTTAAGTGTAGGGTTTAGTGATGTGAAGTATATTCACATTGTTGTACAACATCCTGATTTTCACCTCGTAAAACAATTCTGAGATTCAATTACTTCCCTCCAACATTTATGCAGGCCTACACAGCCACATGAAGAGGCCCAAGTGGAAGAGAATTAGGCCCCTGGCTTACAGCTGAGCTCACAGCAGACGGTGGGGAGCAAATGCCAGACTTACGAGTGAGTTATCTCGCGAGTGGACACGCCTGTCCCATTGACCTGCTCCAGCTGATACCGCATGGAAGAGACGTGAGCAGTCGTCAATGAGTTGTTTCCCCAATTGCAAAATTTTTAGCCAAAAAGCAAATACTGTTGTTTGAGAGCACTTAAGTTTTGGAGTGGTTTGTTATAGAGAGATAGGTAACTGAAACATAATTTGCATACCTAGAAATGGGATCCTGGTGTCACAATGACAAACCCCAAACAAGTGGCAGTGGCTTTGGGGTCAGGTGTTAGACAGAAGCTGGAAGAACTTCGAGGAGTCTGCTCAAGAAGAGCATTTTTTTTTCTTTTTTTTTCTTTCTTTTTTGGCCACACCCTGTGGCTTGCAGGATCTTAGTTCCCCGACTAGGGATTGAACCTGTGCTTCCTGCCATGGAAGCCCAAGTCCTAACCACTGGACCACTGGGGAAGTGCCAGAGAACTTTGTTAAGGACACTGAGTATTGTCACTGCAGGCAAGAGAAAAGGGGACCCCATTTATGTGTTGGAAGAACCGTTAGCCAAACTAGCCTGTTATTATATGAAAGATAACTAATGAACATGTGGATCTAGCTAGATCTGGGTAGAATGTCAAAAGGACTGGATGGTTCCTTTTAGACGTTTTTGATTTAGTGCAAGAGAAGTGAGGTGAGCTAAAGAAAAAAGGAACTGTTCCATTTACAGTCAGAATCTGGGGGAAAATCTAAAGAAGCCAGGACTTACTGGATTTGAAATAAAGCTGCTTTATTCCTAGATTCTCCACTCTCAAAATAAAATATGGCCTCGGGGTAAAGCTCAAAACCACGGTGCTACCGGAAAAATCTGGCCTTAGGTAAG